TTTTTTTCTATTATTATTTTTTCCTCAAAAATCACCATTTGCTTTGTATTGAGCAGGATATTGTATAACACAGTTCACTGTTTCTGGATGAATTACATTTTCCTGTGTTAAAAATGTTGTGGTCCTATAAAGCTAACAAATAAAAAATCTTTCTTGAGATATTCAACCTCAATTTTCCACAACTCTTCTCATTTCCTTCATTTCATTTTATATTAATTGCTATATATACCATCAAGTACAAATGCATTTGATGCCAAATGTCCTGAAGCTAACAAACTAATCAAGCTAACAAAACAATAACAAGAACAATGTATTTAATCCTATCATACAACATTATGAAAAAAACATTAACTTTACCACAGACTAACCAATAATTCACTCAGCTAGACTAGCTCGACTCAATCTCATGCTTCGCTAGCCGACATTTGCTTCCTCAACTCCTCGTTCGCATTCCTTAAAAACTGACCCCATCCACTCCCACTGCTCGTATCCAAATAATCGTAAGGCACCGCAGTCTTCAAACCCGGACGAATCCCACATCGGCTCTCCACAACCCGAAACTCCAAACCCGAATCTCCCTTCAACCCATCATCCAACTCGTCCCAGTCGAACAAAAGGGGCAGCGTGGGCCCGCCCCACGAGTTGAAATCCACGAGCTTAACCCTACCGTCCCTCGTCACATGCACATCAAACGTGTAGCTATCGGACCCGAACCCCTCCCTCACATTCCCTTCAAAGAATTTCAAAATCAATCTCCCCAAATCAACCTTTTTCTCGACAAGGGCCGGGTAGAAACTCGTCACCTCTCGCTGGCAAATGCCGATCAAAACCTTGAACCGCACAAAGCACCGGAACTCCATCTCCGGCCGGAAGGAAGGGTACCACTTGCGGAGGGCGAGGAAGATCTTGGCGGGCCGCCGTTCGGAATCGGAATAATCGGANNNGCACGATAGAGTCGGAGGTTTTTAGGAGAAGGGCAATTTCGGAAAAGTTTTTGCACTTGAGGTTGCCGGTGGGGCTGATCCAAGCCGAGTCCTTTGGCGAGCTCCAGTTGAGCTTGGGGAAGGCGAAGCCGCCTAGGGTTTCGATGGAGCATTTGATGGCGGCCTCGAGGTCGGGGAAGGAAGGAGGCGGTCCGGGGTCGTCGGACTCGTCGCCTGGATCGCCGGAATCGGGGGCGACGAAGTCCGACTCCTCGTCGGGCTTGTGGACGCGATTGGGGAGAGCGTCGTCGTTGTAGATGGAGAGAGGGAGGAGGAAGGGGCCGGAGTTGTCGAGGAGGTAGCGGACGAAGGGCTCCGGGAGCTCGTGGATTAGGGTTTTGATGGATGAGGATTTGAATTTGGGGTACCATTCTTGGATCTGGCATCTGTTGACGTCTTCTATCTTCATCTTGGATGAACTGAAGCGATCGAGAAAGAGAGGAAAAAGTTCCGGCAGCACAACTTGGAGCGCTTCCGGCCGACCATACATTTCTTGATGTTTTTTGTTGTCGATGAGGGGTCTTCCTCCTTGATGGGCTATTAATTATATTGGGCTAACAACATTATTAATTTTTTCTGCCCGTCATTTGTGGGTTATTGGATCTCAAAATCATTATTAGTGCCATTTATTTTCCATGGAATACTGGACTTGTAGTTATGTTGGGCCAGCATACTATATTGGGATATTATGAGTTGGGCTACTATTGTTTGCTATCTCTTGGTTATCCGAGAAAATTACTAAACTAACCAAAATATAAAATATTGCGTATATAAGAACATAAATTTTTATTTGCAAATATACAAAATCGGACATATATATTTGCATACATGCTAGATTTTTTTTCAAAATTTAACTTACCTTTATTAAAATAATTATTAAGATAGTTACATGCAACTTGTAACTGCCTTAATTTAATGAGATTTTTTCCACTCACGTCACTACTCCTCCTCCTCCTCTTCCTCCTCCTCTTCTTCTTCTTCTCCCTCGCCAAACCAAAGAGGCGGGCTGGTCCTTCAACGGCCAGAGATAGCGGTTCGCCGGCGGAGGTGATTGGATGAGAAGATGCCAAGACAGTGACGGTGGCAGTGGCGACTCCTTCGTTGTGGCGGTGTGGAGAAGCAGTTTTTCGAGGGAGGGAAGCATTGTTGAACAAGATTCTTAACAACGGCCGGGGGATTCATCTAGAGAAACCCGACGTCCGATGAACACCATTGATGATGTCACCTCTCCTTCCCAGCTCCGCCTCGTCATTCGAGATCCGCGAATATTTTTGTTTATTTATGTTGTTTACGAAAGATGTTTATGATATGTATATTTTATATTATTTTATATCTTTTCCCATATACCTTTTTTTTTTTGGAATACATGTTTATAATAAGTAGTTATGTGTTTGATACATATTTATAATTTGTATATGTTATAATTGTTTTGGTATATAACACGGCAAGGTATATAACAGACATACTAGTGGTACAATACGTTTTGTTCCAAACGTATTTATGTAATGTATATAACACGGTATACTAGTTGTACAATAAACACAATTCCTTATACATATGTATTATTTATAAATCTTCATTAAAAGATACACTTTTATTGTAAAATTATAGACTATTCTCTCTTTTAAGTTTATATTTCGCTTAATAGTAATTTATAATATTTTTATATTATCAAATCTCGTTACATGAGTAAAAAAATTTGTTCATATATCAACATAAACTATTAATAATCGTTAAATAAACATTGAAATCTAAAATTCCCATTAAATATACACCCTCAACTTCAAATTAAAAACCCCCAAATTCACGTCCAAAACTCTAGAAATATACACTCGAAATCTTTGCATGTATACATAAAAGATACATAAAATATACACTTGAGCTTCTCGTTATTCAAGCCAACGACAGATCGAGACACACATATACATTAAAGATACATAAAATATACACTCGAGTTTCTCGTA